TTATTGCTTTGGAGGTGAAAGGTCACAGGTTCCATCCATGGCATCTTCTGCTAAGGCTGCCAGAGACTCTTGCCAGAAACTCTAGAGAGCCACTGTCAGTCAATGTAGACAATACTGAGCTGGATGGACCTATGACTCCGTGAAAGGGAGATTTCTATATTCCTACTGATTTTATTAGCTCAACATGGTTTTCCCCCTTACACAGTTCAACGGGTTCAGTGGGAGAAGGGTGCAGCAACCTAACACAACTCCCTTCATCACTAACCATTAGTCGTTCTGTCCACGCTGATGACAGAGCTGGTGACAGATCACGCTGATGATGATAAGGTGTACATTCTTTGTTTCTTTAGCTTGTAAACTGCCTTGAGTATTGGAAGATAGAAAGATGGTATACAAATTAAAAGTGATGGTGATGGTGATGATGATTCATGGAGGCAGCGGCGGAGCTAGCCACTCAGGCACCCAAGCAGCGCACATGCCGTGCACCCGGGGGTGGGGCGATCCGCCCAGGGGGGTGATTGGCATGAAGGCAATCCGCCCGGGGGGGGTGTCACCTCCTCTGGGATGACACCCAGGGCAGCTCGTGTCCCCCGACCCACCTTCCTATGCCCCTTCATGGAGGTGGGGTGAGCACTGAGACAGCCAAGTTTGCTGATTACACCAAATTGTTCACCAAACTGATTACCCACCTCCCTATCGCTCCATTCCACACACACCCCAACTCTCCCAGATTATTCTACACCGTCTCTTCTTATTACTGAATCCCTTTCTCCCTTCTGTTCCTTTCTCTGCTTTCCTCTTACTATGAACTTTCCTTGCAGCAGTGGGGTGGTGGGGGAAGGTAGTCACCACCACCATTTTATGACAATGGAGAAATTGAAGACTAGAGCATCAGAGATGTCACAGGTGCCAGGGAAAGTCCTCAAAGCCATATCTGTGTGTCCACAGGCATGATATTAGCACCCCAGCCATAATACATCATGGTGCCACAAGTCTCCTTGTTGTCATTTAACAGATGTAGCAGGTGTTTTCCCCCCCAGATACTTGCATTTCGGGTTCTTGAAAGTCTGTCTGAAAACGGCCTGTGGCCTCAGAGAATGAGTGCAGTTCTTTTATCCTTTCATCACCAGACCATATTCAGGCTGCAAATGACTTAAAGCTTTATTGAAGAATGGCAGTGGATCTTAGAGATTCTCTGTTTACTTCTGTCTTCATAAAAATCTCCATTATTCTCGTAAGCATCTGAACAGAAAAGCCACTGGAAGCACAATAGGAAAATTGCTGAACTCTAGACCATTTCAATACAATCATTCTAGCTTTCTCATGCTCTGTCTATATAGCAGATTTTTAAGGGCCATTGCATGTTTAATGTTTTAGAGTGTATCTGCACTATGAAAAAGTCCCTCATTATATTTTGTTGACCTTCCTCACCCCAATCTCTGCAAATCTGATGTTTCTAATTACCTGCTACCACAGCTTTTTCCCCCTAGAAAAAATAGATTCTGGTACTCACCATGAAGTTGTTTCAGTAAGTTCCACACTTTTTGAAAAGAACAAAAAAGAGGTGCTGGTACTGTGTACCCCTGAGTACCCCCTGGGGGAAAAGCGCTGCCTTCTACAGTATTTCTTCCTGCTTGTGCATACCTAGTTTTCAGTATGACTAATTCTCCCATGAGTGCTGTGAGATTGTTGCCGGCAAGGCAAGACAAGGTCCATATTAAAACCAACGTGCACTGTAAGAAGAGCGAAGACACACACCGTGGGACATCTTAGGAGGCGATTGGAGAAAGGCTTCCAACTAGGTCAGCAATAAAGTGGAAGGTAAGTGAGAGGCACAAAGTATAATTATCACATTTCTTTCATCCTGAGCAGAGGGACACGCTTGCCATCTGCTTTCCATTATGAACTGTCTGCTCAGAAAACCATGAGAATGAGAAGAAGAAAATCACAGGGAACTGGTTGGCCAGAGAACACACTTATAGCACTATTCTGCGCAGGAGTCCAGTGGGACTTACTCCCAAGTAAGTGTTCTTTGGTTTGCAGCCTTATTTCGTAGTTTGAAGTGCCGGATTCACCTCCATGTGGAAGAAGGAAAGACTCTCCTCTTGATGGCCCACTAGCCTGGATGAACGCATCTGCTGTGGCTTTTAACATTCACAGTCAAGAATAGGACACGCAGCTTTCATATTAGTATTAAACTCAGGTCTATCTCAAGTGTGGTGTAGTAGTTATGGTTAAAGTGTTGGACTACAACCTGGGAGTATGGCGTGCAAATATCCACTTTTACCATAACTTGAGTTAAGTTGAGGTGCCTAACATACCTCACGGGGTTCTTGTGAGGGAAAAATGGGAGGAGGAGGAGAAGCAGGTACAACACCCTGAACGCCTTGAAAAAAGGTGGGGTGCAAATGTAATAAACAAATAATAAAGAATTAAGCCAGTTCTCATTTGCCACAAGTCACTTCCAACTTCCCTCCTTTCCTTTGAATTACAGTAAGCCCACAACTTACATGCATTTAACTTGTTCGCATTCAGCTTTATGCACCTGACAATTTATATATTTTTTTTGCAAGGGGGTAGGCATCCGAGGGAAAAGCCTTTCTTTGGCAATCCCACCCACCACTGCACCCAACGTGTCTTGACTACATGCAATTTTGGCTTTAGGCATGATTCCCACGTAAGTTGCAGGCTTACTGTCTATCACATATGGAAGCTTTGTATGGCAAAACACTATTTTCAGGGTGTTCCTGAATACCCAGGAGAAAACAGAGAATTACTTAACAATTTTGCTCTGTTTTAGCTCCGTTTTAAAGTGGCAAAATCACAAGAATACAATGCTGCCTTTAATAGTAGTAGTAGCAGTAATAATAATAATAATAATAATAATAATAATAAACCTAAGAGCTGTCAGATCCATTGCTATAAAAAAACCCATGTGTTGCCTTAAAATGAAATTATGATTTTCTTTTTCATTGTCACAACATCTTAAAGTGAGAGCTGCTTACGCCCACAAATCGATTCATTATGAAATGTTATAATTAATTGTAGCAATTAAAGCCAACCAATTTTTTTGAGTGTAAGCAGGCATGGAAAATATGACAGAACAAAACCTTATGAGTCTATTACAGATTTACAAGAAAACTGCGGTTTGTCTTTGTGAAGACAATTTCTAATACCATTTAATGCTCACTGTCATTTACCTATTGTGATAGATTTTCTTTCTGCATTTCTCCTTGTCACCAGGCACCGAAAGAACAAAAGCCAGGATTCCTCCTACTCACAGGGCTTTTAATTTCCAGCTATAGAGAAAAGAAGGGACGCGGGTGGCACTGTGGGTAAAACCTCAGCTCCTAGGGCTTGCCGATCGCATGGTCGGCGGTTCGAATCCCCGCGGCGGGGTGAGCTCCCGTCTTTCGGTCCCAGCTCCTGCCCACCTAGCAGTTCGAAAGCACCCCTAAGAGGCAACCACTGTGGTGCAGCTAGAGTGAGGAGCTCTGTAGCCCACTTTCTGACCAAGTCCACAAAGCAGCTCAAAACATTCAACGATATTGCTGTTTAAAGGCCGCAATCCTATGCAAACGAACTGTGCAATCCTAACCATGTCTATTCAGAGCTAAATCCTGCTGAATTCAATTGGGGATTACTCTCAGGTAAATAGGGTTAAGATTGCAGCTTTAGCAGGGAGTAAGACCCATGGAAACCATCAACTTCAAGCTGCTGCATGATGTAGTACCTAATCTAGTCATCTAGTTTAGAAAGGGTCTCCTAATCCCTAAAACGATTAAGTGGCTGGTCAGGGAAGTCTGTGAGCTGCTCCAAAGGACAGTTTGGACACACATTACCCACCCAGCGTCCACTTATGAAAATTTAGGGTGGTGTTCAATGCTAGCCCAACTCAGAAGAGACCCATTGAAGTTAACGGATGGGATTAATTTAGGTTCATTAATGTCAGTGGGACTACCCTGAGTAGGAGTTGGCTGCCTAGCACCCTTACACAGTGCAGCTCGTAACTGTATGCAGACTTGGGTTTAATTTGTCTTATTGGAGCTACTTCAGTGTAACTACTCTGGCCCTGGTACTAAATGAGCACTCTGAGGATGTGGGGGGTGATGTGATTACCTATGGCACCATTGGCATGCCCTTGGGCCCAGCAAACTGCCACCAGGGATAAGCATGCCATCCCACCTGCCCAAGTGATGTTTCCAGTGGTAGGTGGAGCCTATTGAGACCAGTAGGGTGGAAGGAAGGGAAGCCAACAGTAAACGGGCCCAGTGGCAATGAATAGACAGAGCCAACTAATTCTAGCCATGCCCCCATTCTCTTGCCTGTTAAGTTTTACCAGGCCAGTGCTGAGAGGAGGATACTGGCAGGCAGTGCCATCCCTTGGACTGGTTGTCACAAAGAAGGCAGGTGCATTGGTAGGCGCTGACTGAGGACAGACTGAAGTTGGTGAAGTTTGCCCTAATGGACCAGCCTCCACTGGGTGTTTCTATGCTAATTATCATAATGGTGAGTCATCAAGCAATGCCAAGGTGGTTCTCTTGCCACATAGGAGCAAGTCAAAGAGCTGGTCCCTCAAGTTCAACATTGTCAACACTGACTGGCATCAGCTCTGCAGGGTTTCAAGTCAGAGCCCTACCTGGAGATGCCAAGGATTGAAATTGGAACCTTTTGCATGCAAAAGGTGGTGCTCTGACATGAAGTGACAGCCTTCCCACTAGATAACATTTGAAATGGCGCACTGCCATCTGTAGCCTCTGGCTGTCCACTAACACCCTCACACAATGAATAAGAGGGATTGGTAGTTATTGTGCTAGTGACAGGAGTGCCAACTTGGCCCCACGACCGTGGATGCCCAGGGTTGTGAGTGCCATGCAGGTTGCATAGACCTGGCACCAACATTTGTGGGTGCCCAGCCCCTTCATGGGGAATTTTGTGGGTGCTCTATTGTGGAGGGCCAAATAGAGATTATTGGCTCTTCCAGAGAGTCAGAGACATTGCATAGAAAGTTGTGTGTGTGTCTGTGTGTGTGTGTACACACACACACACACACACACACACACACACACACACACCACTTGTCAGATATTCAGGGACTAGCAGTACTTTAATGAAATTATATAATAGGCTGTCAGATTTCTGAGCTTCTCCTAAGTTACTGTCCCTTGGAAAAACCTCACTTGTCTGTAATGGCTGCTGGCATTCTTGGCTGCATATTTGATTAAACTACAAGAGCACTATTTCATTATTCCTTAGCGCCTTCCTTTTCTCAAATGACATGACTGGTGACTGACACATCACCATTTATTATCAAAGGATGCGCAATAATTCAGAGTGTGTAGCACCACTCAAGGCTGAGGATCCATGATGCTGAAGGTTACATGTTCAGCTGCAATCTACTGACCAGATGAAAAGTGGAGTAATTAGATTTTAGGTTTGATTAAATGGATGACATGCATGGCCTCAAGAGCGGCTGCAACCACTCCCAGTTGTATTGCGGTGCCTCAGGCCATATCAACACTATACATTGAAAGATCTATTATGCTACTTTAACAGCCATGGCTTCCCCCAAAGAATCCTGGGAACTGTAGTTTGTGAAGGGCGCTGAGAGTTATTAGAGACTCCTATTCCCCTCACAGAACTATAATACCCAGAGTGGTTTTATAATTAATCCCTCTTCCCAGAGAACTCTGGGGATTGTGGCTCTGTGAGGGGAATAGGTGTCTACTAACAACTTTCAATACCCATGACAAACTACAGTTCACAGGATCCTTTGCAGGAATCCCAGGAACAGTGCACAGGGTGAGGAGACCGGGGGCGGGAATCATGCCATCTGGCAAGTTGAAATGCTTGCCCTGACTAGAGCAATGTTGAATTTCTCTCAGAAGCCTGTTACGTATTCACATCTCTTTGCATATTCAAAACCAATTACGTGAGGGACGCGGGTGGCGCTGTGGTCTAAACCACTGAGCCTCTTGGGCTTGCTGATCAGAAGGTTGGCGGTTTGAATCCCTGCGATGGGGTGAGTCCCATTGCTTTGTCCCAGCTCCTGCCAACCTAGCAGTTCGAAAGCATACCAGTGCAAGTAGATAAATAGGTACCGCTGCGGCAGGAAGGCAAAGGGCATTTCCGTGTGCTCTGGTTTCCGTCACAGTGTCCCGTTGCTCCAGAAGCAGCTTAGTCATGCTGGCCACATTACCTGGAAAGCTGTCTGTGGACAAATGCCGGCTCCCTCAGCCTGAAAGCAAGATGAGTGCCGCAACCCCATAATTGCCTTTGACTGTATTTAACCATCCAGGGATCCTTTACATTACCTTTACCCCTTCCATTGAAACTCAGTGAATGACCAGAAAATGGATGTTGGCATCATAGTGGGAGAGTCAGGGCAGGCAAGAGAAAGCACTTCTTTACACAATGCAGGGTTAATGCCGATTACTAACACAAAATAGAGTGATGGCCACCAACTTAGCTTTAAAAAGGGATCTGACAAATTTTATTTATTTATTAAATTTGTATGAGAGCCAGTGTGGTGTAGTGGTTAAGAGCGGTGGACTCGTAATCTGATGAACTGGGTTCGTGTCTCTGCTCCTCCACATGCAGCTGCTGGGTGACCTTGGGCTAGTCACACTTCTTGAAGTCTCTCAGCCCCACTCACCTCACAGAGTGTTTGTTGTGGGGGAAGAAGGGAAAGGAGAATGTTAGCCGCTTTGAGACTCCTTCGGGTAGTGATAAAGTGGGGTATCAAATCCAAACTCTTCTATACTGTCCCATACCCGTAGATCTCAGGGCGGTTCGTGATATAAAATTGCAATATAAAAAAACAACAGAAAATACATAATAAAAATAAAATCAAAGCCAGCCCATTAATCCCTGCCTTCCACAACACATTTAAAAAGGCGTCGAATAGCCAAAGGCCTGTCTAAAGAGGAATGTTTTTGCCTGACGCCTGAAGGTGTATATTGAAGGCACCAGGCAAAGCTCCCTGGGGGAGAGCATTCCACAAATGGGGAGCCACCGCAAAGAAGGCCCATTCTCATGTTGTCGCCCTCGGAAGTCCGGACCTCTTGCAGAGGAGGCACACGAAGAAGGATAGAGGATAAAGCTTTCAGTGTCTAATAGTGACAATGGCTATCTGCAGGAGCAGAGACAGTATGAATCTGAATACCAATTGCTGGGAAAAAGCAGTGGGAGAATGATATTGTGGTCATGTCAATGCTTGTGAGCTTCCTACCGACATCTGGGTGGCCACTCTGAGAACTAGTTGCTGGACTAGTCTTCTGTTCTGATTTGATTCTATGAATTTTTGTTAGTATTTCAGCACTGCCGATTTATTTACTTGCCTTCTTTATATGAAAGTTTACCGGAGAACTTTAACAGCTTCAGCTTTATGCATGAGCATCTGGCTCTTTAAACTAACTGAATGCTCTGCCACGTACATATTAAAATTGCTGCCATTTTTCTTAGGTAATGTAGAAAAAAGGGGGGTGGGGGGAGGTCACATCAGTTCTCACCATACCACAAGAGAATTTAAATCCATGACCTTATGGTGTTTAGTTTAACAGGGCCAGGAGATGAATATTTTATCTGATGTTTTCCAAACAGGAAGGAACCCGTAGATGTTATGCAGTTAAAAGAACAAAACCCAACAACCAGAAAAATGTGGGAGTATTTCAATTTGAGCTTTGCACTTGGAATCTCATTGAACCAGATGGAATTCTTTTCATGTTGGGTCCAACAGCCCTAGTGAACTGTAGCTCAGACATTCTGACTCCCTAGTTGGCAGAGAGACTATGATGGTGCCCATTTAGAAGACATCATTGTAGCCTTGAAATGACATCTTAAAAGTTCAGATGGAATATTGATGCTATGCACATTTTGTGGGGGCTGATTGTATAATTCGTCACGCTTTTTGAGAATTGTGTTTGATTTTTTTTCCCTGTCGGAACAACATACCCACAAGTTACTCCTCTTGTGAAAATGGATTACAAGGGTGTTAATCTTTACTCACAATGTTGCTATGGGTGTATTGATCTGTTTAGGAACATAGAAAGCTGCCTTATTCTGACTCTGACCATTGACGCATCTAGCTTAGTATTCTTTACATTGTTGGCAGTAGCTGCCTAGAGCTTCAGCAGGAGCTCTTTCTAGTCCTACCACGAGATACCAATGAGATGTGGGAAAACCTGTGCATGCAGAGGATGTTTTCTACTTTCAACCCCTTCCCCTACTTCTGAAGGTTTTATGAGAATTAGTCAGAAGCTTTTCTATGTACCATGTTTTCAGTAGTGGCACCCTGGCTATGGAACAGCTTCCCCACAGAGACTCACTTGGCACCTTCCAGTATTCTCAGGCTGCAGCATGCAATCTATATTTGTCTATTTTGATACTGTCATCTCCTCTAATCCTATTATATTATGTTTTTCCACAATATGATACTACCAATACTATGACGCAGTGCAACATATTGCAAAACACTCACTGGCTATATACTCGGTGAATAATGCAGCCTTAAGATCAGAATTCCCATCACTTTCTCACAGTTCTTTGCTTTCTGTTTTAACAGATTTTGCAGAGGCTCTGCCAGCTGTGTTCCCTGGCCCTTTACTAATGAAAGAGAATGAGGCCTTTTGATATTCACACATCATTTCTTAAAGCAGAATATGAAAGTAAGATGTGATTCCGAACTCCATGTGAAAGAAGGTCAGCTGTTAAACACAATGTTTAATTAATTTGCATAGAAGCCTAATGACCAGTCCATAGAATATCCATCTTTTCTTAATCAGAATTAACAAGAGGAGGGAAAGGAGGGGCTGTCATAGGGACATAGGAAGCTACCTTATACCAAGTCATACCTTTGGTGCACCTAGATAAGCATTGTTCACACAGACAGGTAGCAACTCTCCAGGGTTTCAGGCAGGGACTCTCCCAGCCCTGCATAGACATGGCAGGATTGAACCTGTGACCTTCTGCTTGCACTGAGCTATAGCCCTTCCCCTAAGCCTGTTTTGGAATGTGCTCATAATAATTTTGATGTTGGAGCTACCAAGGGATGGGGTGAGGACTTCCGTGAAGCTGCCTTCTACCAAGTTGGGATAGCTCAGTCGGTACAGCATGTGACTCTTAATCTCAGGTCATGGGTTCAATCTCCACTTTGGCCAAAAAGAATTCTGCATTGCAAGGGGTTGAACTTGATGATCATTTCCCTTCCAGCTCCACAATGCAATGATTCTATAATTTTAAGTCAATACTTTGGCCCACATAGGGCCAGCTCTATTGTTAGGCAAACAGAGGTGGCTGCCTCGGGCAGCAGTGTGGTCAAGTCGCTTGGAGATTTTTCAGGCACATTGCCCTCACTTCAGGGGGCTCATTAATGGTGGTGAAGAAATGAATTGCAAGTCTTCCAGGCAGGAACCATAGAACTCTATGTGCCATACAGTGTTATGTAGAATTGCCAGCCCAGCCCCTTCCCCCCACCCCGAGATTAGGAACAGCATTTATGAAGGCCAGTCATGTGTTTCAGGCTAAATGTGACAAGGCCTCAAAAGCATGAACTCACAGTCAATTTGTCATTAATAGCTACATTTTTATCCGGCCCCTTCTACCAGGGAGTTCAGTGTTATAGGCACATGAATGAAAGAAGGTGCCTTATACGAGGTTCTGTTGTTAAAAATGACAATAGAGTCTTTCACTTTACCTGCTACCTGGTCCTTTCAACTAGAGGCACTGGGATCGCCCACATGCAAAGCACACACTCAGCCAGTGAGCTCAAGTCCCTCCCCTCCATTTTCTCTTCTCGATAACCTGCTGAGGTCGTGCAGTTTGGGCAGCATTGCTTTCCTAGGTTCCCAACACAGGGGGTCACTGCCGTTTCCTGAGAAGAGTGAGGCACTGGGGAGATCAATGCGGTATGGTGCATGGTAGTCTTTCCCCTTTTTCTTAATGACCATTAATTAACACATGTTTAAAATGAAATAACAACCCTAAGTGCCTTTTTCACACATTAGATTACCTCCCATATGCCCATGCTGTGCTTCCAAGTCTCCCTTGCCATTTTCTAGGGATTTGGCACCATGCCTCGTCCTGCGCACACATCAGGCAACATCACCACCAATTTGACTGTAGATTGTACACACATCTGTAAGACTGGCTATGGCTCCCTCTTGACCTTGCAGACCTGGGTTTGCCTCTGCATAATGTGTGAAAAGGCACCTAAGGTTGCTCCTTCTGTAGTTCAGCTCTGTAAGGCTGGGTGTCCACTTGACATATGGCTAAAGCATTTGAGAGCTGCAATGTGCTATGAACCTGCAATGTGCATGCTGTCGGAGCTGCTGTGTCAGCTACAGGCTTTTGCCTGCTGTAGCTCTGCATCACCTTTATCTGAGGAAGTATAACCTGTCACTTGACCTGTCTGTTGAAAAAATATGTCTCTAGATCCTTGACAGTTGTCAAGAACCTTCATTGAGCTGTATTGGCTCTTCTTAACCATGTCTGGTGAGCCGGGCTTTGTCTGCAAAGTAATGCAAGACTAGCTGGATTTTCTGTTCATTACTCTTTGAGTTTTCAGCTGTTCTCTTGTATTTTCTATCCCTTAATAAATTTACCCATCTCCTCCATCAGAGGCTGTATGCTATCAGTTGCTGAAACCACGGGAAATGAGAGATGGGTCACTGGCCTAATCCATCAGGCTTTTCTTATGTTCCTAAATCTAACCACAAGACCCAAGAGAATCCTTTTCTGGCTTGCCCATACACTGAGATCATTAGCTCAGGTCCTCCTGGTTGTCCCTCAGCCTACACAAATCCATCTGGAGACAACCAGAGGAATGACCTTTTTTTGTAGTGGCTCCCAGCCTTTGGAATCAGCTCCTATCTAGCTGTGAGGTAGGCATCTTGATTGGTTGAAGACCTATTTATTTACTGAAGCATTTACTACTGTTGTTTCCTAGCTTTTAGTATTTGTATTTTCCTACTGTTTATATTATATTTTTCCCCTGGTGTTATTGTATTGTTGTTTTATGGAAACCTTAGGGGAATCCACCCTGAAATTTTCAATGAAGCTGCAATCCAAAGCCCCCTTGCACCAGCTTGAGAGGGACTGTACTGGGTGGGAGTTTTTGTTCATCAAGCCCTGCTGACTTCTGCCCACAGAGCGATACCAACTCCCCTTTCCACCCACCCAATGGGCAGGTGAGTGGAACTACTGCCAATGGGATCTCTGCCAGTAGTAGCTTGCAGAATGCCACAAAATGGGCTGTTCTGTAGGATGGGCTGAGACATGCCAGGGATCTGCTGAATCCCAGCTGACTCCACTGCCATCCCTTGACAACACTGGGCTTTGTCCAGGGCCAATGGCTGTACCATCTCCAGGCTGATGGAGTGATTTGCCTTTCTTCCCCCAGCATACCTTCCCAGGTGTAAGCAACAGGGCTGCAGATATTGTGGTTTCTCCATTTCGCCACACATCACCACTTCCCAGCCAGCTTTTGGATTATCCTACAACAGCTTGAAGAACTAAGTAAATGAATGAATATTCTGAAAACCTTGATAAATGGAAGTACAGTTTGCACAGAATGTCATAGCTCGTTCTTCAACCCCACCCACTTGCCTGGAGTAAAGGTATCCAGGCAACTCCCAGCTGTCCTCTGTTCTTTTGCTGGTATATGCAGTCTGAACAGATTTAAAAGGCTTACATTGCAACACAGAAGCAACAAGATGAAACACCCAGGGTGGAAATGTTATCGAGAATCAAGGCTCCCCTCCTGGTCTCTTAAGCCAAAAAGAAGTAATATTTTGTCCTTGGGTCCCATCCAGCAATTTGCTTTGCTCTGCACTAATCTATAATTAAAGAGCAAGAGAGTAATCACAGATGCAAAACAAGATGATAAATAGCATATTTGCAAATGTGTGTAGCATAATGCAGTGAAATGCCAGTTCCCGTCAAAAACAGTCAATGTGCCAGCTTTGCAGTTGGTCTATATCAGCAGCAAAAGAAGTGGGGAACCAACAAGTCCATGAGAGAGATCTGGTAAAATAATTAGCTAGTAACTGCTGTAGTTAAGGCTGAAAGCTAACAGCTGCTTTGAATGTTCATGGGAGGTAGCCAGAGCAGAGTTACAAGGTTTTCCCCCTTCTTTTTCTTGCACTTCCAGGTCTTGTCCAAAGTGCGTAGAAGACCATTTCACAAGATTCATATCTTCCTTCCCTTCAAATGAGACTCAGGTGGGTAGGGACCATTTATGCATTGCTAAGTAAAATCTTTATTGTTGTGGTCAATGACCAGCAGTGAGAAAACAAAAAAAGAAGTACATAATATACATTACCCAAGTGTGTATAATAAAGAGAATAGAATAGAATAGAATAGAATAGAATAGAATAAGGTAAATAAAAATTGGCATAGAGTGAAATGAAATGGGCACAAACAACTTAAAAGATGAAATCATGTGATGAACTCCAAAGGGAAAAATTACAGTGTCTGAGCTCAAGTTAATGGTTGACTTTACTTGCTGCAGCACAGTACTTGGTCATAGTGAGAGTGATATAGATGCACTTTGATCTGAAAGGAGTAAAAGGACATAAAATGCATCTGATCATCCTGACAAGTTTAACAAGAAGGATCCAATAAAGATTTTGCACAAATCATGGTAGGACATGGGTCTCTTACTTGACCTCTCCAAAGTCACAGGGGCACCTGAATTCATGGTAGGGTTGTGTGTGTGTGTGTGTGTGTGTGTGTGTGTACCTTCCCTCCAGAACTGCTGTAGGGAGGACATTTAAGTAGGCTGGGAGTGCAGAAAGATAGCTAGTTTGTTGGACAGGAATGCTCTGTTAATTAGAGTGTGGTTGGATGCATTGCCTGGGAGCATTGCTAAAAAAGAGAAAATGCACCAGCAGAAATGAAGGCAAAAGAGGGCTCAGTTTTGCATATAATTTGTACCCGCTAATTTATAGTTATAATTGTAGATTTATAATTACAGTGGTACCTCAGGTTAAGTACTTAATTCGTTCCGGAGGTCCGTTCTTAACCTGAAACTGTTCTTAACCTGAAGCATCACTTTAGCTAATGGGGCCTCCTGCTGCTGCCGCGCCGCTGGAGCCTGATTTCTGTTCTTATCCTGAAGCAAAGTTCTTAACCTGAAGCACTATTTCTGGGTTAGCGGAGTGTGTAACCTGAAGCATATGTAACCCGAGGTACCACTGTAGCATATTTTTGCATAGTCGTGCACCTGATGATTGTGACGAAGACTGTGTGTAGACATGCAGGGAATGAGGTCTACTTGCACAAGGTGACTTCCCCCCTCCTCTCCTTGTGTGTCCCCCCATCTAAACCTATTTGGGGGGTTCCTGCAAACCTCTAGAGCAGATTTTGAGGGTGCAGGGGGGGAGGAAGTCTCATTGCACAAGTGGACTTTATTTCGTACATGAAGCAACTTAGCAGGGGTGCCAACTTGAATAAAATATTTAGAGGGGGAGGTAAACCCCACCCCGCATAATCATGCATGGTGCACACACACCATTTGAATGGCCATGCCCATTTACTTTGAGGGGACTGGCCCCCTCAAATATTTTATTAGTGGGCCCAAAAGGTAGGACAGATAGTCACCCGATTTTGAATGCTCAAAGCAGTAACTAAACATGTGCCTACTTACGCTTTGATGGTACCAACGTCAAGGGATGACTTGTATGATGTATGCAACAGCAATCCAATGCAGACAGACAGAGCTTTCATATTTCTTCACACCACCCCATACATGAGATATTTCAATACAGGAAATAAATTCCTCAGAGCTGTGAATCTTTGAGTGGCATTATCAAAGAACTTTAATATTGCCTTACATCACCAAATCACCTCACACACACCTGAGATCTTTCAATAGAGGTAATGCAAGAGTTCAGCTGTCAGTCATCATGCGACACTAACAAGTGGATGCCCAGAAGTCAAATGACAGTTATAGAAAATAAATTGAACAAAACAGCAAACTAAGCAAACTAAGTGTATATTTCCTATACGAAAAGGAAAGAGTCACAAAGAGAGTGGGATAAAGTTAGTCTTGGATGCTAAATGGCCTATGGTCCCACTTTAATATTTCAGAACCACAAATGACAGGCCAAAGCAACTTCTGTGAGCTTGGAGGAGCACCAAGGATCCTTCTATCTTGCTA